AGATGGAGGTAGTGGGCGATGCCTTTGGCGAACTGGGTGGACATCTCCTGTTTCGATTGAATGGGCAACCGTCTGTGTGTAGCCCAGGTCTGCTTCATCTGTTGAAAATGCTTCCTTGTGTCTTTGCAGAAGGGTTGACACCTTTGATTTTTGATCAACCGTAAGCTGGGATCCCACAGCTACTGGGACCGGCATCAAATCAGCGTTATTGACCACGGCAACCTTGCTAGACTTGACAGAAGCACTGGCTTCACCCTTTGACTGGCTCTCGTCGCATTTGTCAAGCACTGATCCCAAGTGCAGGGTTCCCAGAACTGCAGACTTTGGCACAAGAAGGTCCTCATTAGTCTCATTATACAGCGTAGCATGGAATCGACCCAGCTCTACCTTGACAAGACACGGCGGAACTGTAATTCCAGCGGGAGGGCCTCCATTCTTTGATGGCTCTAGGACAGCCTCGTAAGTACTTCTTCCAGGGAAGCTGCTCCCTCTGCCGTGGACGACAACCCCCTGCCGTGCAGAGACGACAACTGCATGCCCCCCAAGGTATGCCCATCCGACGCTCCCACGCTTCGAGTCGAATGTCATGGTCTTTTCAACCAATTGCATCGCCCTCTGCCAAGTTCCATCTTGACCTGGCCAGGGAATCTTGGTCAGGCAGTGTCCACCCCAGGTACTCACAAGCCGCTCCCAACATTGTTGCAACACGTTCATGCCAAGTATGCCTGGCACACCTCTTCCTAATGTCAGATGTGATGTCTCCTCCTTCAGCACAAGCACTATGCGAGATTCGGCATTGTGCCCCAACACTTGTATGTCAGTCTCAAAATAACCAGCATAGGGAATGGTTGCCCCGTTAGCTGAAACAAGGGAAAAAAGCTCAGGTATTGGTCTAAGCTGAAAACCCCTCGGACTCAGGTGCATTCTGAAGTACTGTTCTCCAACCGAAGTAACCTGCGAGCCCGGATCAAGTAGGCACTTCATTACTACACCCTTAAAAATGGCAGTTACAGAATAACATTCACCCACAGTCTTTGCAAGAAAGTGTGGATCCACATTGGTAGGTGAGCCTCTCACACCAACCTCTGCGGTATGGCTCTCTACAGCAGAGGCTTGACGTTTAATTCTTGTGGAGCTCGATGCGGCGCTGGCATCTCTTCTGGTTGACGCTGGGGGAAGTTGGGATCTGGACACCACTGCGGGGATTCCCTTCCTCTGGGCCACGTCTTACGAACTGGTCCACCTCGGGTGGGGCAATTCCTGGCGAAGTGTCCAAGACGACCGCATGTATAGCACCTGTCACGATAGCCCGTCTGGTATGAGCCACCAGCTTGATACATCGACCCTTGATCTGAGTGTAGATGTCCAGGAGTGGTTTGCGAAGGGGGTGGAAAAGCCACTACTTCTTTGACTGCTCGAACTACTTGGTTGCCAATCTCCCGAACAGCTCCCAAGACATCCTCGTTAGTGATGTTCCTGGTGCTACCTTCACTGCTTGTCTGGATGGCTGCTTGGTAGGCCATTCCAGGTGCGGTCGCTTTGCTGCGGGCCAATTCCTGCCCTTCTCGTTTCAGGGCATACTCCCGCAGGTCACGGAAGGAGGTCACAGATCCTCGCTCGAGCAAGTCTCTACAGGTGTTCCGCAGGTAATTGTCGTCCAACCCCTCAATGAACTGTTCAGCCAGAGCAGAATTTGGAGAGGAGAAAAGCTTGGCATCTCGTCGAGTAAGCCTGAGAAAGCGCTTCTCCAGTTCCACAGCAAAATCCCTGATGCCTTCACCTGGGTGTTGCTTCCTCTCCAAAAAGAGCCGCTGTAACTCCCCAACCGCAAGTTTTTCACCGTCGGACTCCCGTAGGAAGGCCAGGATTTCGGTGACACCCTTCTTTTCCTGGAGCAAGGCCTTTACTTCTGCTCGCGGTCCTCCACGGACATAATCTAGGAGGAAATGGCCCCTCTGGTCTTCAGGAATGGAATAGCGCTCAAATACATTCTTCATGCTGGTGAGGAAGTCTTGGATTTCGCCCGCCTTGCCATCAAATGCAGTGATCTTGCGATCTGGTGCCATCACAAGTGGTGCTTGGGGTCTGGAAAGAAGCTTTGTCAGTTGCTCCTGAAGACCTTGAATCGATGGACTCTCTGCGGTGCTTGCAATTGGCTCTGGAAGTAGCACTGCGTATACACGCTCTCCCCATCCATCAGGTGGCGGCTTAATTACGTCACCCTGGGCTGGAACCACTACTTTATCGTCTCCCTCAGTGTAGAGTAGGCCAGTAGCAGTAGGGTGTTGTGACCGCAGAACAGTAAGGTGCAATGGTCCTCCTTCCTCCTCCAACGGAAACCGCTGTACAGACTTGGCACCTTGAACTCTCACATAAGCCATAGTGAGGACAAGTTACATGTATTTCTAAAACTTAATGCTGAAACAAGGGGGGGGTGGTGGTTAACAAGGCTCACCCACACACCTTGACCTTATCAATGCAACAAGAAGTTAACAACTCTCAATTTCGACAAGGATGCTACTTGAAGTGCAATAATCCCTCTGAAAGTAGCACAATGCAACACTAAATTCCTAACTGATCTGAATCTTGAACGCTCTTACCACTCTATGGTAAGTATGATACCTCAGTGTAAAATCAACAATGGCAAATACACATCATTACAAGTGTGCATCCATTTTGGTATGTAATGTGGCACTACAAATATCAATCCACAAAAAAACTCCACAAGATTGTACCTTTAAATTCAACTACAATGGATGCTTGAGAAAAATGCACAACCTCGAGCAGAGCTACATCAATGTACAAAATACAACCAACTCTAGAATTTAAGCATGTGATACAATATCAAATACTATGAATGAAATTACCAATCTAAACAAATTATGTTCCTTCCAAAGTATCAATTCAAAATCTGGCAATGCACAACTCGGAATTTACTTTTCCGAAAACAAGATTTGTAATTACATGCTAAACTGCGTACAACCGGTAGATTCAACAACTTTATCGCAAAAACAGTACCAACACTCCTCTGTAGTTAAGAAAAGTTACAAGAAGTGCCCAAGATGCCTTAAAATTACTTGATGCTGACTTGCTCAAGTAACACTGTAAGCTTAATGCACAACTACATGGAAATCAAATACGTGGGCACAACAAGCTAATTCCGTTTAACACTTGGAACTCTCAACGGTGAATACAAAGTCAACACTCCGATTGGACAAAAAGAAAACCTCAAAACACAAGCTGTGTAAAAAATATGGGCAAACTATATGAAACAATTTTGAAGTCAACCTGCTATCAATTTGCAACAGCAAGTGTGAAATTTACGTGAGTAAAAGCAGTTACATGTACAAGGAAACCACTTCTCTTTGGTGAATATGATACAAATTCAACAACACCTTTGATATCACGAAAGTCAGTAATTGAGGGATAATATATTGGAAACAATGTATGAAATGACCTTTGATGATTCAAATTTGCACAAAGAGGCTAAAACCGAAAATAATTACAGTCAGTTCAATAGCTGTGCTGCAACTCCACTACGTTTTCAGCTCCCTCGGGCACGATCTGATCTCCACGTCTGCTACACACTCCACCATCCTGCCGACTACGCTTGTAGAGAATCCTAGGGACGGGGTGGGGTTGGGTGATGAGGTAGTACTAGTGCGGGTTGTATAACTGACTGGTGAAGAGCTCTGGGTCTGGCTAAATGGGTGATTGGGAGGGCAACACGGGCACGCAGGTCCTAGTGAACAGGTGACGCTTTGACGGTTAGTTTCCTTGCCTCAGGCTCAATGACTGCCATTTATTCCTGCCAACCTGCCAGCCCAGCTGCCAATTCTCACTGTGTGAGAATTCGGCAGTGAGGTCAAAATACAAAGAATACAAATTACAAAAAGCACGCACATGTCAGTGTTACACAGGTATAAAATTACAATAAACGTGTACATGTAGATCTATTTCCCCAAATTAAATAAACAATCTTCGCATGAAATAAGAATTACCTCAGGCAATGCTGAACATAAAGGAGCAGGCTCACATTTACACATGCTGGCCAGGCACACTCATACACACTATCAACCACTTTCATACACACCAGTCCTCAATGAACAGGAAGAGCCATTATTTACTTGTGTGTTATTATTCCCTAAATGTTAACCTTAGATAATCATAGTACATGTACTGGAATCTGACAATGCGCAATAAGACCCACGTTAAATTATACATGAACATAAATACGTACGTAACGTTATACACAATTACATGGGAATATTACGCTTGCGCGCACCATGCTGTCACATTTTGCACGTGAACGCGTGTATGCCTATACTACACGCACAATGTTCGCTAAACTCTCCACAACGAGCTCACACTTTGGAGCCCAAAACCCACATTTATATCTTATCAAAACTTTACTTTAATGCCTCCAGTATTATCTATGAACACTAGCGGACAAATCCTAATGCAATATTGGGTAGCGTGCAGTTTGCAAACAAATGATATTTCAACTCAAAAATGAGCTTCAAAAGTTGACAACGTACCTGTGTGAGAATTCGGCAGTGAGGTGCCGGTCAAGGGTTACGCAAGGCACAGGTCACGTACATAATAAGGGGCGTGGCTTAACTACATGTAAACACTACGTGCATATCATACGCACACTCTACACATGGATTTCAGAACTCTCTCATGCAGGCATAGAAGAAATTGAGATTATCCATGAGCTTGGCGGACACACTTTTGGCCTGTTTTACTTGTGAGCACTCTAATACTGTCTGGTTCCCTGACCCAGTAACATAGTATTGAACGTCGGGTTCCTTTGGCTGTTTGAAGTTTTGGAACTATAACACAAGCCGAAGGCGAGTGGTGCTCAGACTTTTTTGTTTCCTTTTTTTTGGTTTAAATTAATCAAGCCAAAGTTCCAAGCCAATGTCACTGATTATAAAAAAAAAGGGAACGAAATCTACTTACGGTGTGATCTCTTTTTTTCCTGAAATATCTTGCAGACCTACATGTATTGATCACATCGTCTCCACTTACTGGGGACTGAGACTGAAGGGCGGGCAGATATAACTGAACCGTGGTGAGTGTATTTCAAGAAACTGAAATCTAAGCAAATGACATTAAAACATGAATTGGAACTAACTACATGTACATGTACACTGAAGTAAATCAGAAACAACAATAATACTGTTATAACTTCAACAAGGCCCATGCAGCCAAAATAAAGGGACTGTTTTACCGCCCTGAATCCTTCAAAATCCTCTTTGACAAAGTGGAGGAATTTGGAGGATTGGTAGAGGTTACATGGCAAAATTGCTCTACTGATTTCATACATGTAGGATGCACTTTAATTGTCAAGATCTTGGGCCGAACCTTGTGATGTTTTTGCTCAGCCATGCATAGCCTGGATTATGCCTGAAATCTTCTGTACTGCCATATAGGATGTCTGATCACTGGCCAAGCCTCAACATATTGACAGTCACTGCCGCAGGATTTTGCAGGATTCTGGCAGTGGTGACCCCTCAACATACCATATTCAAGGAAAATTTGAGAAATTGCAGGATTGAGGCTTATATATGCTATTTTTCCATGAGGCCAGTTGGAGGATTTTGATTGAGGGTTAATAGATGAGTGCTCCCTGCCTTCATAGAGTAGGAATGACTGGTTGTGATTGTTATGAAACCTAGCTTTACAATGTACTTTGACTGTTCAGAGATTGATAAGCCAGCTGCGCCTTGCAAGTTCCATGAACTTGCTTTTGTCTGTTGATGTCAATTCGACTAGTCACTCGGACGCCTATTGAAAGTACGCTTTGACTGTTGGTGACTAGCCTGAGTAATTAGAAACTTGGCAACTAGGGGAACAAGATTGAATTTTTTACAGTCTATGACTGATCGAAGAAAAGCATTCAGTATTCATTCAGTGCACACGAAACACATTATAAATAGGATCAAAAGTATATGGTAAAGCAGCATTTTAAATGTAGTAGTAAAATCAGCATGTTTCTTTTTGTTTGTGTTTTCCCACACAGTCTTCTGGAGACGACAAGCGCACTGAAGTTCCGTCTGGAATCAAAAGATTTTGAATCAAGGAAGGCGACTTAAGTTGCGTCACATCCAGCCCATTTGATGATGCTTGCATAGTCTGCAGCATTCTGTAAAGACTGATAGCTGCTGAAGTTGAGGCAATTTTTAGTACGCCGTCAAGATACGCACTTCAAAACATAGGACAAAAAGTTTGATGTGATCTTTCTGTAACAAAACCTTTCGATCAAGTTCTGGGCTGAATCAGCACCAGAGGAGGCCCACTTGTGGGAAACCATTTGCTTCTGAAGCCTATGATAAAGCCTTTTCTGACTGAAGAAATCTACAAACATGTTGCTCTCCATTAAGAAACCACATATTTGCGAGACCAGTGGTAAAGCCTTTACTGAGAAAAGTAGTCTACGTATACATGACAGGGTGCACACTGGCGAGAAACCGTACGCTTGTGAGACCTGTGGAAAAGCCTTTACACAGAAAGGTAGCCTACACAATCATGCGATAGTACACACGGGTGAGAAACCATTTGTTTGTGAAACCTGTGGTAAAGTCTTTAGTAACAAAAGTGCTCTGTGCCAACATGGCATGGTACACTCCGGTGAGAAACCATTTGTTTGTGAGATCTGCAGTAAAGCCTTTTCTACACGAGGTGATTTAAACAGACATAACAGGCTGCACACTGGTGAGAAACCATTTGTTTGTGAGACCTGTGGAAAAGCTTTTACTCAGCAAGGTCATCTTCAAGCACATACCATTGTACACACTGGTGAGAAACCATTTGTTTGTGAGACATGTGGTAAAGCCTTTACTGACAAAAGAAATCTAGGCAGTCATAATAGGGTCCACACTGGCGAGAAACCATTTGTTTGTGAAACCTGTGGTAAAGCCTTCACTGATAAACACAGTCTACACATACATGACAGAATACACACAGGTGAGAAACCATTTGTTTGTGAAACCTGTGGTAAAGCCTTTGCACGTCAAAGTAATTTACGCAGACATGACAGGGTGCACACAGGTGAGAAACCATTTGTTTGTGAAACCTGTGGTAAAGCCTTCACTGATAAACACAGTCTACACGTACATGACATGGTACACACAGGTGAGAAACCATTTGTTTGTGAAACCTGTGGTAAAGCCTTCACTGATAAACACAGTCTAAACGTACATGACAGGGTACACACAGGTGAGAAACCATTTGTTTGTGAAACCTGTGGTAAAGCCTTTGCACGTCAAAGTAATTTACGCAGACATGACAGGGTGCACGGCACGGGTAAGAAACCATTTGTTTGTGAAACCTGTGGTAAAGTCTTTAGTAAGAAAAAATATCTGCGCCAACATGACACGGTACACTCCGGTGAGAAACCATTTGTTTGTGAGATCTGCGGTAAAGCCTTTTCTACACGAGGTGGTTTAAACAGACACAACAGGATGCACACTGGTGAGAAACCATTTGTTTGTGAGACCTGTGGTAAAGCTTTTACAAGTCATGGTTATCTACGCATACATGACAGGGTGCACACTAGTGAGAAACCGTTCGTTTATGAGACCTGTGGAAAAGCCTTTACACAGAAAGGTAGCCTACACAATCATGGGAAAGTAGACACGGGTGAGAAACCATTTGTTTGTGAAACCTGTGGTAAAGTCTTTAGTAAGAAAAAATATCTGCGCCAACATGACACGGTACACTCCGGTGAGAAACCATTTGTTTGTGAGATCTGCGGTAAAGCCTTTTCTACACGAGGTGGTTTAAACAGACACAACAGGATGCACACTGGTGAGAAACCATTTGTTTGTGAGACCTGTGGAAAAGCTTTTACTCGGCAAGGTCATCTTCAAGCACATACCTTTGTACACACTGGTGAGAAACCATTTGTTTGTGAGACATGTGGTAAAGCCTTTACTGACAAAAGTACTCTAGGCAGTCATGACAGGGTACACACAGGTGAGAAACCATTTGTTTGTGAAACCTGTGGTAAAGCCTTCCACGTCAAAGTAGTTTACGCAGACATGACAGGGTGCACGGCACGGGTGAGAAACCATTTGTTTGTGAAACCTGTGGTTAAACCTTTACACAGCAAACTAATCTACGGCAACATCACAGGGTACACACCGGTGAGAAACCATTTGTTTGTGAGACCTGTGGTAAAGCTTTAACAAGTCATGGTTATCTACGCATACATGACAGGGTGCACGCTGGTGAGAAACCGTACGTTTGTGAGACCTGTGGAAAAGCCTTTACACAGAAAGGTAGCCTACACAATCATGTGAGAGTACACACGGGTGAGAAACCATTTGTTTGTGAAACCTGTGGTGAATCCTTTCATAAAAAATGTAGTCTATTACATGACAGAGTGTACACATGATGATACCACTTATTTAAGGCCCCCTTCACACAGGGCTGCGGCCTTTGTACCACCTATGAGCGAACACACTATTGCCAGGACACTCGATGATCGCCTAAACCCAGAAAATCCTGTTTCTGTGTAACTGCTCCAGCAATCCTTGTGTGCTTCCCTTGAACCACCAAAACTGCAATTTTCAGGCATTTCCATGTCAAGCTACGAGCGACCTGTGGGTCCACTGAGCCACTTGCCTGCCTCCCCTGTGCTTCCCTTGTGCAACCTATGGCAACCAACACGATTATAGGCAACATAGGCGACCCCCGAGCAATGTTTGGGCAACCATTGAGCCTCCCCTGTGCCTCCTCTGTGCCATCGGCGACCAACGGCAACTAACGACGATCATTGGTCGACCATTTGGCCATGCTTCTCAGGGGTTTTCCTTTACTTTTTCCTTTACTGGCCAGCCGGGCCAGTAAACCAGAGTTTCCACTGGCCCGCAACCTTTTTCACTAGCCCACATGTTTTAATAGTAACTTTCAATCAAATCACCATAAGCATTTTTTATTTTGATAACATTTTTGATAACATTTTTGATATTCCATTATGCAATATGAATACAATCGGCAATTATCTTAATCATGTACATAATATTGCATGTTAGGCTTCTGCCTCCTAGGCGACCCTTGAGTCACAAGGGAGGCAGAAGCATCGCCCAGATTGATGGTAAAATTTGCAAATAGAACGGATCTATGACGTGGCGACCATTGGCCGACCGTTAGTGCATCCATTCTGCAACCATGGCAATGCTCGCATGTGCCTCCCTTCTGCCTCATTTGAGCCACCTTTGAGCAACCAACCTCCTCGGCGACCTTTGTGCGACTGTTTTGAGAAAAAAATGTTAACAAATTTACGGCGTTCATGGCGATGTCTGAACATCCCGTGTGCCACCTTTGAATGACCTAGGTAACCATTCGGCCTCCTTTGAGCCTCCAACGGCGACCAGGCCAGTTTTATGGTCGCACAAGGGAGGCACAAAGGTCACAGCCCAGTGTAAAGGGGGTCTAAGAAACCTGTGGTAAAGCATGTGCACAGCAAATTATGCTACGCCAATAAGACAGGATACACAGTGATGAGAAAGCATTTAGTTATGAGACCTGTGGTAAAGCCATGACACGTCAAATTAGTCTACGCAAACATGACAGGGTGCACACTGATGAGAAACTGTTTGTCAGACCTGTGGTAAACATGCGAGCCTTTACACATTATGGTTTACACATGCTCAGACATGAATGAACACACATCGGTGTAATACATGTATGCCTATGACATGAATGTTTCTTTGGAAATACATTCCATGAAAGAAATTGACGCCCCTTTTTGGTTAATGTTATTGGAAAGTGCACTTTTCTTTAACATTAAAATCAGTCCATGTTTTTGCGACAACTGAGGTCGCTGTTACTGTAATGAAAATTCAGGTAACACTTCAGTTTTAGGCCAAAAAAATAATACTCGTTCTCTGGTCAGCGCGCGCGTCGATTTTAATCATGCGCATCAACCTTGTTTTTTCTTCAAATTAATACGGAAGCTACAACAACGCCCTCTATTGCCGCACCTCCTCAAATTTTTGTACCAAGGAGCACCAAGGAATGGGGAAATTGCACCAAGGCAAATGATAAAGGGCACTAAGGCAAATTATGGAGGACACATGAGGACACAAAAAAAGCAAAATAGTACACACCTTGTCTGTACAATCATAGCTTGAAAAAAAAAAGCCACCCAAATAAAAAAAAACCTGCGTCGCCGCATCAGTTCCGGAACTTTGGTCTGACCAGAGACCGAGTATTTTTTATTTTATTTTTTGGCCTTATAGGGGTTTTCTTTCCATATTGAAAGCCCAAAAATAAGTCTTCAAAATTTTGCTTATTGGCCCACTGTCGTGTACTCAAACAACAACAAATGAATAAATGAAGAAAATTTACTACATACATGAACACCAAATTATAAGACTAGGTTTCTGCCTGAAATGACATCACACTTTTGCACAGGAGTATGCAAATTTTCAATAGCAATTAGCAAAAAGGTACTAAAAACACAAAAAGGCACCAAATGCCCCTTAAAATGGCAAAATAAAATTTGAAAACTAGAGGGTTGTGTTTGTTGAGTTACACACCCAGAGTGGTCAGGCAGACATGTAATTTATTAAACACTGCCCAGTTAGGTTATGAATATACATCAAATTGTGCTTTGCCCTTCACCGACATGTAAATATTGAATATTCCTACTTGTCGAGCTCTGGGCTTTTTGGGCATCTTCTTCCATCGTGTATAAATATTTTTTTTGTAAAAACAGTATTAATTTTTTAATATCTCAAATTATGTATTTATGCCTTGTCATGTAATATGAGATCACAATGAGATGTACAAATAATAAAGAATAAACGATTAGTTATGAAATTAATATCCAAGTCTTTCGTGATTTATTGTACGTACCATACGTTTTCGTTTGTAGTTTTTTGTACATTGTATATTTTTTAACATCCCAGTTAATAAAAATTCATTAAAGGTAATGCAAATACCCCCCCCCCCCCAAAAAAAAAAATTATATATAAATTCTTGTTAGGCAAAGTAAAAAAGAAAAAAGGTTTAGCATCCCCGTCCGCTTTCCTTTTTTTGAGGCCACTTTCCCGTCTCATTTTTCCTATTTTAAAACCCCCCAAATGATAAATTTGTAAAGACTTACTAACAACCCCCCCCCCCCCCCCCCACCCCCGCCCCTGTAAACATTTCTGGAACCCCCCCCCCCCCAACTCCATGTATAATATCCGCAACCAAAAGGTTTTGATTTTATACACCATAAGTGTTATGATGTTTGTTCCAGTTGGCAAATTCAAGTCGAACGAAAGTTTCGTCGGGTACGTACCGGTGCCACTGCCGATCCGGTACGTGTGCTGTACGTAGAGAGCTAGAGGGCGCTGTTCAAGTGTTCATCATTTTGGTTTGGTCCATCCACCATACTTGCCATATGTCATGTATGCACGGCAAAATCTCAAGTTAATTCCAGGTGAGTGTCGTGACATGAATAACCATTTTATGTTATTTTAGCAATGCAAATCATATGCACACTTTGAGCTATTGTATTTGCTGAGTCGTGTAGTTTAGGACATGGATCATTAAATCTTGTGTGTGTTCCGTTTGCAATCCTTGCTCTTTTTGGTCTAGCCGGCCGGCGCGGCGAAATTTCTTTTCCCTGATTTCGCTCGCCATGCATGCTTGCCACTGGCACTGCATGCACTGCCCTGGCCCTGCAAAGAGGGCGCTGGCCTGCTAGCTTGCCTGGGAAGGGATGATGAGCTTTACAGAATCTTGTGAACGAAGTGGGGATGGCAGTGGAAGTAACTAGACTGCAGTTAGCCAATTCGGACAAATGCTACCGTATCCGAAAACATTCTCATACTGATCATGGAGGAAGCACATTCCATACTGGATTGTGATATCTTTGCGGACCATATGTGGACAGTTTTGAGCGTCGCATAATGCAATCATGCATGATCACCCTTCATGAATTCAAAACGGAGCCTGAGGAAGTGACGGGAACATTTACAGCGTAGATAAGTTTTACAGATTTTCGTACATTATTACGGTTTTCAACGAAAAAAAGCATTTGTGAATTTAGAGTAATAACTCGGTCTTAACGGCCGCTTAAAACCTGGCAGGGTGGTGGTCATGGTGACTTGCAGGTCTTGACTTGCAAAATCTATCCAATCAGAGCGTAAATTCATCAGCCCTTCCCAGCATCCTGTTTGCCCGCCCTGCAAACTTTGCAGGACGGGGGGTAAAAGCAAATTCCCTGACTAATGTACAACCAAAAAGAGCGTCCTCTGCCATACTTTTGTGATACGTATGCTTGGCAGGTATGTTTATTTTTCCCCAGGACTTTAGTTGTGAAATTAGAGTATAAATACACGGGTAGTCGTGAAGTATAGGACACCAAGTTAGCTCTACTGTGGAGCGCTGGAACTACCGTTACGGTCATGACGGTACCCTCCATACTAACGCTCCACCAAAATAGACATACTTTGACTCGGTCATACTAAAAAGCGTCAACACACTCCAAAGCGTCAACACAGAGTCAACACAGCGTCAACACATCCAAAATGCATTAAAATTGACACAAGCAGTCTGTAACCCATACAGTATGAACAGAAACAAGATTTTGGCTTAAAATCAATAGGTTAAACGTCTGAAAATTGCGATTTTCCGTTCAAGAAAATTGGCTCTCCGTGCCGCTCCGAGATCGGCTGCCATGTTGCCTCAGTGGCAGCGCAGACCATACCATTATGCTAAAGGGTGGTAGCGTTGTACAATAAACCTCAGTCTCTCACAGATCAGAGTGCACTGGTATAAACAAGCGCCCTCTGTTGTTTATGATAAGATAATGTCATTACCTTCACACCCCTACTTGAAATGGTGTAGTCCAAACTTTGTGCGAAGTCAAGATGGCGGACAATGGCCGTGCAAGTTGAAGGTCATTTGTTCGCGTGAAAATACGATATTTTTAACAACGAAATGGAAACTCAATCCAATGGAAATTCTCTTTTATTCTATGCTTTACAGTTATATGCCCTTTTTGTCAATTCAGAATGTGTTTTGGATGTGTTGACGGTGTGTTGACGCTTCTGTCATGTGTTGACGCTTTTTAGTGCGACCCCTTTGACTAGCAGGGCCTACACATTTATATTGGCGATTGTGGAGTGTAGGGCCCGGTTCCTATAAGGGAACAAAATCCACTTTAAAATTATTGGACCTACCAAACTAGTTGTCGACATTCTCAATAAACAGGTATGCCATAGAATAAGGGCAGGGTTTCGATTTTTTTGAGGGAAATTTGGGGGTAAAATGACGATGACAGCGCGGCGACAACACGCGACCTGAAAATAAAGATGGAGATCACCGCGCGATGTACCATGAGCACGCACGGCGCGCTGAATCGCAAGGCACAAACCGCACAGGAAAATTGTGATTTCTACCTCAAGAATCTGTTCAAAATTGCAAAATGGGTGTCATTAGAATTGAGAAAAGTCTGCCTTTGATTGTAAAGGTGATTTTTGAGCAATAAAAAATATTTTTGACTCTAATTTGATCAAAACAAAACAGGGGCCCTACACTTCAAGATCGCCTTTATATTACTGAAACACGGTATGCATTATTTTCTTGCATACCCTGGAGGACAAAATGCCCCAAGAAGCTGGTAAAGAGAATACAAATGAGAAAGACAGCCACCCTGGATAGATCTACTCATTCAGACATTTATTCCATAAAACCCCTGAAATTGTTCCCAACAAGCAGTAATTTTGAAAAAAGAACAAATAATAATAATAGTACCGGAGTCTTATATAGCGCACATATCTACCAAGTACCGATGTCGTGCAGAACGCACCTGGGGCGTTGCTTTTTGAATTTAGAACCATAAAATTCTGACTCACTGGTAGTGTTGCGCATGCCTACGTGAGGATTGTGAACGTTCAACCAATGAAACGGTAAAAGGCACTGGATTCTTAGGAGTCCACATTTTATGTGACACTGAAAAGTGTTTAAGACCAGCTAGCCATGTCTTTATCATCAGTTTAAGACCAGCCAAGTGACGGGCTCTCGACCAATAGGAATGGCTAAACTGTCTGAGGTATTTATGAATGTGCATTTCACAACACATGGGACAGGGCTTGATGTCCCATCCGAAGGACAAAGCAATAATGGTAAAGTGCCTTGCTTAAGAGCACAAGCACCATGTACCTATAGTCAGGATTCGAACCCGTGTACCACGGCACACGAGTCGAACACCGTAACCATTGGACCACAGCACCCCAAAATATTACTGCTCACAATTAATTATAAATGTGTCTGCCGAGATGTGCCATCCATTTCTTTGCTGATCCGTTGAGGGTGACGTCACCATCGTCGATCGAAGAAAAACAAGTCGCACTGAATCAAAAAACTGTTTCGTGTAGTGATATGTGCCCTGCGCCGTATGACATGGGCTTTTAGCCCGGGGCACATATAACAAGAAACAGTAATTAATTAAGCGCGACTTGTTTTTCTTTTATAGTGACGTTACACAAGTTCCGTTTACAAATAAAACCATGCCCTTTACACAAATGAGCACGTATTTATATTCAATTTTCTGGAAAGAATGTTGCAACCTGAAGCTGCTTTTTCCTTCATATATCGTCTCAATGAAGGTCAGTCATTGCAAAAAATGACGATAAGACATGAATCTGGGACTGAGAAACATTTTCTTTTTTGATAGGAAATACTTAAATAAAAAAAATTTGTTTTTACTCTCCATAGACTTTGTACACAACTGCTGAAGTAGCGTCAGGTTGCAAAATTCTTACAAATTTCTGTTCCTTTTTCTACATCATTTTCATTTGATAACATCTCCTAGGGTCTGAAGATCAATACAATTAGAGAGCTGAAATGAGTGCAGAGGGTGGTGTTGATCCTCTTGGGGCACAGCCAGACTCCAGTGGGTCCCCTTCAACTGTGATTGTCCAGCAACCCAGTGCCAGCGATAGCATGGCCTCCAACCCCGCCAAGCGAGCTAATGGACCGGGCGATCTGCCCGGCGAGTTAATGTGTCGACCCCTGGGCCTAGTGGTCCTGACGGGTCTGGATGTCACATACAACGCGGTGCACCGTGCAATCTGGGATTCCTTCAGTGCCAACAGGAGGCCTGACCGGGTGCCGCTGTACTTCAAGGCGTGGCCGGCCGATCACGAGTACCCAAAGTGCAGGTCAAAGGTTGGTTAAAGCCAGAGTCCATCATTTGCGGCTATCCAAAAAGTAACTGGCGTAATTATTGTTGAAAAACATACTTGGTTGAAAGATAGTAAGGGGCCTAACTCCCTGTGAAATTATTCTTTCTGGCAAGCTGTCATTTTGAAGAAATCAACGAAAGAAGGCCTTTCTAACGGTGCGTCTTAAGAAGCACCGTTGGAAATTTCCGTTAGTAAATCGTGCGCAAGCATTGACACGACGCACATGCGCGCGTGGTTGCTATAATTAGTCGGATCAGTGCGCGACATCGCGTAGCTGCAATCGGCTCAGTGAGAACGTGTCTCGGACGCTGAATTCAGGCCCAATTCAAAACATGATTCAGCAACTTTTGATTTGAAATCGAGATCCTAGAATGCTGTTTTTCTCGAAATATACAGCTTAAGCTGAGCTAAAACTTCATCAGGTTAGTTGTTCAGTACCCTTCAACAGCATAGTTGTAATTGAACAGGGGGTGAACAATGGCAATTTAGCAAGGTGTTGAATGCACCCTGCATACATTAGGCAAAAAAAGTAAACTTGAAATAGAGTGGGTAATTGTCCCAAGTGCACCCCTCCCCCCCCCCCCCCCCAAAAAAAGGGAACCGTATTAATTTTTAATTTTTTGGTAACGTAGCAAAGTAATGGCTGGGAAAAACTAATCCCCAAAATTTTGCTGCGCTAGTTTTGGGGGCAGTTATGACAAAAAGGCAGTCATTGCGTACAAATTCAACGAAAGCAATACATTTGCACCTCCGCTCTTGCTTTTCATATTAAATTTGTTCAGAGTAATTCCCACTTTTTCGTGAACAAACAACCTTTTGGTGCCCCCACCCACCAGATTGCATATTGGATCTGTCCTTGGGGGGGGGGGGGGGAAATCATTCCATAAACAGAAAAATTCCAACACCCACATGGGAAATAGTACACACATACTGTTGGACTTCGATTCTGGAGGTTTGCCAAACCCAATGTTAAAGAGCGACTGTTTAGGGGTACTGTACCTATCCCAACAGATTTAAACAAAACCAGCTGTTGAGCTTTGATGGGTTGTGCCCGGTTAGGGTTTATTAATTAACCCTAACCCCCTAGGCCCTTGTTGCTTACAACCATCCTCAATCCTCCAAAATCCTCCAAAATTTTGCAACTCCGCCTAAATTGTTCAAAATTGTCAGACAGTCCTGCCTCAAAATGCATTCATCCTCAATCCTCCAAAATCCTCCTCATCCCAAAACTTTGCACTCGTGTTTAAATGAAGGATAACCAACGCCAAATCCTTCAAAATCATCAGACAGTCCTGCCTCAAAATGCATTCAATCCTCAATCCTCCAAAATCCTCTTGTGCTTCAATCACCATTCATCCTCAATCCTCCAAAATCCTCATGTGCTTCAATCACCATTCATCCTCAATCCTCCAGAATCCTCATTTGATTCAATCACCATTCATCCTCAATCCTCTAGAATCCTCCAAAACCGCCAGGAGGATTTTGGAGGAGTGAGGTGGGTTAGGGTTAAAGATCAACTTGATACACAGTGCTGTGCTGGACTGCTAGTAAAAACTAATCTTGATCGTTGTGCAGCTTGTTCTGAATTCTAGCAAAACAGGTGCACACATGACATGACCGCTACGAGATTCCGAAAAACATTGGTGCGATAGCGGTTCGTGGGTGATGATGGTTTGTTTCAATAACACCTTCCCTTTTGCGGGTTGTTGCGTTTCCAATTAATACTGACCTTTATTTCCCACACCTAATGCCTTATTACTCCTCAGCAACGAACCTCTTACGAGTGGTACATCCCCAAGGGCATCATCAAGAGCGGCTGGATGAAGAAACACCTCCAGCAGGTCCCTGCCTTGGTGGTGGTCTTCTTTGACTTGGACTGGGATGAGAATATGTGGAAAGAGCGACAGATGGAGTGCGCCACCAGGGTTGAGGTTGTCAGGTAGGGATAGACATGACAAACAGACAGTGTTGTAGAACTTTGACTCACTGTATTCAAAAATATTCCAAACTGTATTTGAACCCCTGATCATGAAAACAATAGGTGCCCAATGTCAAGGCTCTGCTAACAACAGAGTTATGTGGTTATGATCACCACTGTGTGCTTTCAGCTTTAGTGCAGACATTTTAGTATCTAAACTACATAGTTGTAAGATTTTTACGTGCTCACAATAAATATCCCGAAGAAAGACGTCATTTGGAACAGAAAGTGTAGTGCAAGCACATGGAGTACATGTGCGTGTTGGTTCGCGAGCTGAATCACGCGCTAATGTCTTTTACACACATTTTGCGCGCATGATGTATTTACTTCAGTACTCTATTTTCTGCTAGTTGACAGGATTTTTCACTGCATAACTGTGAAGTTGGCCCGGACGTGTTTGAGCGATCAAATTAGAACTACATGTAGCAGTAGAAATGCCAAATTTGGTGAAATCAGCTGTCCACAAATTCTCTTTGTTGTGTTTGCTAATGTGCATTTGGTAATTTTCGGTTTCAGGACCAGTCTTCATGGTAGAGGCACCCGTGTCGCTGTCGTCCTCATCCAGAAAAATGCACCTCTGCCACCAGGTAAGCCTTGGGTATGAATTGAAAAGCTTTCTTTCAGACAGTTTTATGAATTTTTCAAACTTGAAAGAAAATCCTAACCATGCAAATGTATACTTGCAAAAGCAGAAGCTAAATTTCTTACTCTGATCAAGATTGGACTCTGTGTACAAGTAACCCATCAACGAAGAGTTGGTGGTGACTTGGACTGGTTCCTGATCCATCCACTGCGTATTTCGAATGTATCCAAAGTTACTGGGGACGGGGATTAGTCTTGGAGACCATCGCAAAGTTGATTTCGAACGAATTCGCGCCCCGATGACGTCTGAGTTCACCCAAAGATGCGTTGGCTATAGCTTTTGCACATTTAGGAATTCCTGGTACTTCGCACGCAAACCAGTACAGTGCAGTACGCACACGCTGTGTGTCCCGTCCACGGAAAGAGGTAAAAACGCACAGAGATCATAACTTGACAAAACTGGTGCCATCTACTCACCAGAATACCTCCCAATGTAAATTGATGGACGTTTATGAAGCTTAAACCTAGCTTGTTTTTACAATCAAGTTTCCAAATTGCACTTTTGTCATTCTGCTTTACCAGCATTTCTGTGGTATTTTAACTGATTAAACTTTCGATAACTTCACTCCGCTATCCCCTCCGTTTACAAGTACCCCCTCGCCGGCAAAGAGAGCACAGTTGGGGGTGACGGACCGACGCCATCTTACCTGACTGCAATTTTGCCGGGACGCACGGCCGTACCATGTACCACTGCGTGTACATAGTACAAATCCCCTGGTGTACATGCGTCACACACAAGGAACGGTGCGCGTCAACCAGCTAAATGTCCCACCCATGGGACGTCGTTGGTGGGTAAAGGGCGCCCTCTTTGTTCATGCACAGAGCCCATTGCTGCAAGTAATTACTTGTGTTTTGATCAGAATGGCAGTGAGTTTGTCAAATGTTACCTTTTTTTTGTCATTCAGGTGAGGATGTGATAGCCGCAGAGAGAGCGGCCGCTCTGTGCGCAGCCTGCGAACTCTCGGCAAAGTCCCTCTTCGTCCTGCCCTGCGTCGATCATTTACTGGGTTACACCATCAGACTGGAGAATGCGTTCTACGAGTTGACGCAGGGTTACTACCACACGGAAGCTCGCAGAGTCAAAGCGCACCGAGAATTCCTCAACAGAACCACTCATCAGGTACGGACACCGTGTCCACGTACCCCCTCAACAGTTTGCAAAAAGAGAGTTGGGGCTGGCCACTAGGAGGATCTCTTGAATGCATTGTTCAATGTCCATGGCGTCCGGACGCTCACACTGAGGAGTCATTTGTTTCTGTACATTCTTATTCTTAACCCTAACTTCCTAGGCCTTTTTGCTAGGATATAGCCTCTATCCTGCAAAATCCTCCAATTGGCCTCATGGAAAAAATAACATATAGCCTCAATCCTGGAAATTCCTCCATTATTTCTTGAATATGGTCCGCGGAGGGGTGACCCACTGCTTGAATCCTGCAAAATCCTGTGGCAGAGACTGTCAATATGTTGAGGCTTGGCCAGTGACATCCTGGAGCAGTACAGAGGATTTCAAGCATAATCCAGGCCCATATTCATGCATGGTTGAGCAAAAACAACACAAGGTCCGGCCCAAGACATTGAAAAAGTGCATCCTACGAAATCAGTAACACACTTTGGCCATGTGTCCTCAATCCTCCCAATTCCTTGGCTTTGGCAAAGAGGATTTTGAAGGATTCAGGGTGGTTAGGGTTAATAAAATGATCTTTGTGTACTTTTCAGGCCGCTTTGTAGTCTGTAACGCGATGCTCGCGGGACTGAAAAATTGATGCACGATCATCTTACGCAAGATGCAACTACTGTAAACTGCCCAAAAAAGGCTTATTGTCTAGTGACCATCAGCGTTGTATGTTCATCATCGCGCCACCAACCACAAACCAGCCAGTGGGTTGTAAATAAGCTCCCAAGATGCCAAGTGTAGGAATTGACCTAGAATCGCGTCAACACAGCTTGTGAAATATTGTCCAGTTACATGATATACAAATGGACGAGGAACGCGCAAAATCTGAGACAAACAAAATTTAGTGTACAAAACTCCATAGGGTTGTCTAAGGGGCGTGGCTAACTCGCATATGGCGATAAGTCAAGTGACCATGGCAAGCCCTAATTTTGTTCTGGAATAGTTGTGAAATGTCAGTAAAAGTTTTCGGCGGGAACCTTGTAAATTTCACTTCTCGCTTTCCCGTCCCTCTTTCCGAACTCTTTCATTGCTTTCTCAATGCCGTATTCCTTGGGTGTTGATAGATCCCTTTCTTGTATTTCCCCTCGACAGTTACTGTTTGTGCGCCACGCCTTCAAGTTCGCGTTCTTCAGCGAACTCAAGCAGGATACCCATGGGGCTCTCAAGTAAGTTTACATTAAATAAGGGATGAACTATGCATGCAGAATACACCTTTGCCCACTTCTGTCTCATTTTGCCAAAACACCTCACATATTTCTGTGAGTTTCTCATTTTCACTTTTTAATTTTTTCCCCTGCATTACAGACAGTACAAGGCTGCGTACACACACCTGACTGAACTCCGAGCGCATGACACAAACATGCTGGAGATCAAGACTATTGCTGGATTCATCAACTACAAGGTAAAAAACAAAAGAGTCTTGTCTTTAGACGTCAGTTTCTTAGGAGTCATATCAGACGGAGCACTATGTACAATATAATGTCAGTGTGACGAACACTGCCAAATGATTGGCTAAAATGCCAAATGTTGGGCTATAACCGGCATACATTTGTGGTCCAAAATTACATCTATACAGATCATTGGTGGCTAAAACCGTTATAACAAATGACCAAAATATATGAAAAAAAATCCTTTTGTGAAGTCGTGGACTCTTTTGTGAAGTTCCACATTGCCATTCATTAGTTTTTTGGGTTGTTTTTTTTGGGTTGTTTTTCGGAAAAAGAAGCTCAGCACGTTTATATTAGGAGGTAAAAAAAATGTACAGAGAACATTGTATGTGTCTCTGAACAGAAATCTTTAGGTCACTTGACTTAATTTGCGTGATATAACCCACCTTTTGTTTGATCATTTGATTTATTTTGGCTGCTGGACCTTGTTGAAATTGCCGGCCAGTCATATGAGATTTCATAGCGATCACGGCCAATTTCTCCTACTCCATGAAGGCAGGGAACACTTAACTGTTAAAATAGTTGCTTTATATATTTTGGCTGCTGAGCCTTGTTGAAATTGCCAGCCAGACAGTTAATCACGATTAGAACTTCAAAATGACTTGATGATAGTCCAGACAATTTCGACTGTTTTCCCCAGGTGTGTCGTCTGTGCTTCTTCCATAACACGCCCCTGGACGCTATCAGTCAGTTCCGTAAACACGTGGACCTGTTCAAGAACAAGATCGGCTGTGCTGAGCTGGCATTTGAGCACTCGGCCTGGATGTCCAAACAGTGAGTTTGAAAATGTAACCTTCTGGAAAGTTTTTACTTTGTCTTTGTGACCTGGAGTATGTAATTCATGACCTGTGGGTTGAGGTTGTGGGTTCGAGTCCAGCCTGTGGGGTTGTGATGTGGATGTGTTTCTTCTTGGGCAAGAGTCACCAGTAACCTCTCCCCAACCAGGGGACCTGTGAGGGCAAAAGTAGTTACTGCATTTATATCATGTGTTTAACTCTGAAAAAAAATGGCTTATCGATCTTTGTACTTGTCAGGGAGCTAAAATTGCATCTGGAATTTGTTATAGGCCTGATGATCAGGGGTAATAATGATAACAATATAAAGCTGCTGTATCCATTTCGTTAGAGTGACGTCAGTTCAGTCTAAACCATGCCACTGCCCATTAAGTAGCATTGGAACCATTGAAACCGGAAGCTAACGCAACTTGAGTGTTTGTCCGATGGGCGCTAGTAATCAGTAGCGCGCAAGGGTATATGACCTTTTTTTACTAACAAACTAGATATAAATGCTTGTTATTACTATATTTATTGATTAATACTGCTATCAACATTTGAGTTTGTGTTTCTTATTGACATTCTGACCCTACCCCTCCTACAATCCCGTCCAAAATGGTTGGCACACGTGACATTAAATACACCGTGACCCCCACTCCCCCTCTCCCCCCGGTCAATGTCGGACCACAGACCACGCAATGAGAGACAACATTGACAGGGGGCCGGGGGAGGGTGGCCCAGGGGGATTTGGCAGGGATTGTACCTTAGTGTCTCATTCAAGAAACAAATGGCTTGTGTTTTGATGCCAAGGAATTCCATCACCATGAATTTCGTGAAGTGTTTGCCATTTTTGTCAGTGGTTTTCATTTAGCTTGCTCAAATATTGGAGACTTCTGAGCTAGGACCTGTATTGAAACTGTCACTTGTACACCACCAGATTCAGCATATTTGGGGAGTTATTTGAGGAGGCCATCAAGCTGGGCCTGACGGCAATCCAGACCCAACACCCTGGTTTCTACTATCAACAGGCTGCCAATCACGCCATAGCTAGGAAGCAACTCTGCCGTGGTCTCTGTCATGTAAGTCAATCCATGTCATCAAGCCCCAGACCACACTTCTGCTTGTTTAAATCTGAAATAATGGAGGCCTAAAGCAAGGCATGCATTGGAAGCAGTGTGATTGATGGATTTAGGCGGACGTGGTCCAGTACTTATTAAAAGACAGTAGGGAGTTAGGGTTAATGCTTACAACCTATGAATATGAATCCATGTTTGGCTGTACATCATTGTGATTCAGTGTTCAAAGTAGAAAAAAGACTTGACACTTAGAACCTGAGTATACAGTGTTTACGTCGGTGAGGAGCAAATCCCAATATTGAGTGCATTGAACCTGCAGCAAAAAGCTGTATACATTGCCAAGATTTTGAACTGTCTCCTCCCCCCCCCCCCTTCATTATTTGGCCCTGGAAAATTAAATTGGCTGCGACTGGCAGTAATACATATGAAAGTTGCTGCCTTGGGCTAAGAGCTGCCTTCCTTTGATATGCCCTCATTCTTAAATGTAAATGAATGAACAGCGTATAGTCATGCTTTCTCTTAGTCTACACACCACTATCTTTAGTCCATGCACCGAGCTTATAACATTTGCCTGTATCCCCCCCTCCCACCCCCCTGACAGGCAGCCACAGCCATGCCAGCTTCCAATCCCCTGGAGGATGCTGATAATCTGGAATTCTACGGTCAGCGTCCGTGGAGGCAGGGTCATCAAAGCATTGACCCGCCCGATCCTCAGATGGAGAGAGAGGGTATCCTGGCGTTGCAGTATCTGGAGTCCCAGGTTGACCACTCGGTAAGCTTCCGACTAAGACATAGGCGGTGGGGACAATTTCAGAGAGCTGCATGCTTATGGGCCCCGTGCACAAGGGCAATTCCACGGTTACTCACGTTACATTTTGGATGTACTTTTGAGTTTCCTTGGGCTGTAATTATCTTACTGAAAAGGTTTAATAACTGTTATCCCCATGGTAGATAGAGTAGACCTAGACCTACCTAAGCACCAAAGATGACATCCAGAAAAATGTGTTATGTATGATAAACAAGACGCACAAAATTGGTTACTCACGTTACGAAAATGTAACGCGAGTACCCGTGGAATTGCCCACAAGTATCCCATCAATGGCCAGAAAAGGAGAGTTGGGGTGACCTAGACTGGTTCCCGATCCATCCACTGCGAATTTCGAATGTATCCAAAGTTATTGGAGGCGGGGATTAGTCTTGGAGACCATCGTATCGCAAGTTGAATTTTTTTTCTTAAAAACGCGCACTCTTTTGTTGGCGCACGGAGCACAAAAAATATTTGCGTAGCAAAAAGAGGATATCAGCCAAAGTATCATGCTGTTTATGGGCTCCGAGCATGAATGGTAGATGCTGTTTTTCACTTTCAAAAGCCTCAGTGGGGGGACGTACTCCGTTCGTATGGGTATGGCGCAAAAGTACAGACTACAAATGTTATTGCTGGAAAATAAATTTGTTTTTCATGAAGTTCCTCATTTTCTTTTCTGTTGTGAATGAACTCTTTTTGTTATTTGTTTAACTTTTGCGGCTATGTAGTGGATCATCATACCGTTGTTGAGCAGTGCAGTTGCCCAGTTCAAGAAGTACAAGTCAGCTCGGATGAAGCGCAACCTCAGTAAGTTGACTGTCTATTGCACCAGGATACATTCAACCTACTTTCCAACCTACCTCAAAGAGATTTTTCCAGCTTTTCAAATTGAAAAGAGCGTAAATGGGAATTCTTAATGACTTTTTTTGTTCCTTTGGTCAAATGTTATTCAAAAGAATAGAAAAACTATTTCAAAGTTTATAATCTGTTATCTTGCTAGTGGATTATACATGTACTTTATTTCAAAGTCATTCCATTGTACTTTATTTCAAAGTCATTCCATTGTACTTTATTTCAAAGTAATTCCATTGTAAACAAATCACCAATCTCTATCCTCAGGCATTTTAAGCACAGTTAATAGCACACTCTTTCAGACGTAAGGGTCAAAAAAAATGTTTAAACACTGTGCCATCGTATTGTATCAAATATCTCTTTGTTGTAATTTTGCCCGATGTAGTGGTTCAGATGGGGGAGGAGTACTACCATGCTAAGGACTACAGCAAGGCACTCACGTGAGTCATATAAACCATTCATTTCAAACCTGTAGTGTATTTTGCTTTGAAACCCTGCCCAACACATCACCATACATCATTCTGTCTAAGTTGGAAGCCTGCCCAGTGTAGCAAGATCCATCAGGTCAAAAAACTTAAAGGTATAGTCCATCATTTGTAATTTGTGCACTTTGTTCGTTTGAAGCAACAAAAGTGCTCAAGATCAGAAGAAGGGTGCTGAACAACTAACCTGATGAAGTTTCAGCTCAGCTTCAGCTGTATATTCCGAGAAAAACAGCATTCTAGGATCTCAATTTCAAATCAAAAGTTGCTGAATCATGTTTTGAATTGGGCCTGAATTCAGCGTCCGAGACACGTTCTCACTGAGCCGATTGCAGCTACGTGATGTCGCGCACCAATACGAAGAATTGTAGCAACCGCGCGCGTGTGTGCGTCGTGCCAATGCTTGTGCGCGCTTTGCCGAATAACAAAACGAACTACTAATTTAAATTTCCTACGGTGCGTCTTAAGAAGCACCGTTGGAAAGGCCTTCTTTCGTTGATTACTTCAAAATGACAGCTTGCCAGAAAGAATCATTTCACAGGGTGTTTAGTCCCCTTACTATCTTTCAACCAAGTATGTTTTTCAACAATAATTACGCCAGTTACTTTCCGGATAGCTGCAAATGATGGACTATAACTTTAAGGCCCAACTGCCTCAGAGCTTGTAGTTGCCAACTCCAACAGAACAACACATTGGCATTGTTCAGTGGGACTGGCTCCTATTGTCTGAAGATGTACTCTTGTTGATGGCCCATCACAACAAGGTCTCACTGACTATGGGCTCCGTTCGCGAACAAGAGAGGGCGCTTTTTAACCACTTTTGAGAGCTCCAGTGGGGGACACACAGCATGTGCGTACTGATTTGCTCACGTGCAGCATGCGTGTGAGTGTGACACTACCGTAGCAAAAGCTTTTAATTCTGGTCACCGGATTCCACTAAAGACAAGAAATTTGGACACAGCCTTGTCTAGATTAACAAAATTTTTCCTGCTTTGTTGGTTGTAGGTTGCTTGGCCGCGTGACATGGGACTACCGTTTGGAAAGATGGTGGCAATTGCTGACATCCATACTAGGAACATCACTGAGGTAAATAGTAGCAAAGGTGTTATGGCTGAGTCTGAAATGGAGATATAAGAAATAGTGGGAGTAGGAATGTTGTTTTAATTGGCACTCATAAATATGTCCAAAATGTACTGTAAAGTTTCAGACTGTAATGCGTTTGGAAAACATGGCTAGCTGTTGCACATGCATTCATGGAAGAAGTTGAGCCCACTTTGCACCAGTGTTGTATTGGAGTCCCTGTAAGACCCTGCAAGTCCATCACAAGAACATCACAAGAACATCACAAGTCCTTTAGTCTCAAGTCAAGTCACTAGCTATTCAAATGAACTGTTACAAAAGCATTTTAAAAAAGGACTTGTGACTGGACTTGTGAAAGGACTTGTAGTACAGCAGATTAGTGATAAGATTGTTCAGTTTGATGATAAAATCATGAAATGTGCCACACATCAGAGTGTGTCATGGGAAAGATCTTTGGCTATAGGGCCATCGCAGATTTGTCCTTTGAAAAATATCATAGAATAACAAATAATTTTCAACATTTTCCAAATGGTTGCCATTGCATGTTATCCTACGATATTTTTTTTTCAAAGGACAAATCTGTGATGGCCCTTTAGCCAAAAATCCTTCCCATTATATACTCTGACTGTGTGCCAAATTTCATGCTTTTATCATCAATTAAACAATTCCATCATATTTTGCACCAATCCGCCTGACTATTGTGATGAATTCCACTACAACTGCTTTGCACATAAACATGTTAGTGCCAGCTGTATCAACCTATCACATGACCAATGCTGCATCAATTCAAAATCGTACACCAATTATCGCACATACATACACATATGACACAGTATGTCTTAATTGACTTTTTGGAGGGGGGGTGAGTGGTTGGGATGAGTGGGGAAGGGGACGGGATGATTCTCTGTACTACCCGCCCTTCCTTTTCTCATTTCCTCTCTTCCCACCCCCACCAACCCCAACCCCCCCCCCCTTACAACCAAACCGTACCAAGCCTGGGATTGCCAGTGGCATTTGATAAATTGAGTGACTCTAACGGCAGTCATAGGTTACAGCGTCACCTATTAAACAGATGAAAAAGCAGTCCATCTTGATTATCTGTAGGTGTGCATACCTGGTAGCGAGTGTCGAGGAGTATGTCACGATCTGCCTGGAGCTTCTTGGCAGATGTATCCTTTGAAGAGTGTCTAAGGTTAGCAAGTATCACTGAAACCTATAAGGAAGGGATAGCTTCGATCTCCGAAAAGAAAGACATTTAAAAAATCTGAGCACTTTTTACCAACCTTCATGAGTTCTACTCATGTACATGTACATTGTGGTTAGCAAGGCCTCGTATTGCTTAAAAACTGAGTGAAACTATTAATTTTGTTTAACATGTATTGTTGGAAAAAGTGACCCTTCAAAGTACCACTTCCATTTTTTTGGTTCTTTCTTGAAATTGGCCTTAATGAAAATATGAAAAATAGATTCTCAGAGCAGTCCAGAGGAAAGAACAAGGGTGCAGATGAACCTCATTCGAGTCCTGTCGGTAAGATATTGGTCATTGTTACATTAGAATTTATACTAATTTTATATGTCATGAAGTGTTTTGATATCCGATTGTTACTCCCATGAGTTGAACCTCAATTCCGAAAGATGTTACAAAGAATTTCCTAAAATGAAGTTTTTTTTATGAATAATTATCTTTTTTTTAACCCTACCATTGAGGGGTCTTCTGAAAATTAATTGATCATAACTGGCAGTTTTCTGCATCGCTGTTATCTACATCACCACTTAAAACGATTATTTCATTTTGACGACATAACCTCAAATAAGGCATTGGGTTCATGAAATTTGAAATGATGGCATTGTTGGCCTATGCAATTGTGATGTGATTTCTGTTCATACTTTATTAAAAAAAAATAAAAACTCTAATGACATGCATTGACAAAATGAAACTTTATAGTTGGGCAATTCCAGATTTACAGAAGAAAATGTAATGTCTGTGTCACAGCCAATTGACCCTGATATCTATGTGCAATCTCCTTGACCATTACTAGATGATGGGTGTATAAGATCAGAAAAACTCATTTTTAGATTTATTTAGTAGGCTCTTAAAGCACTAAAAAAAATCCTATTATTTTTAACGTCAATAACACTGCTATTTCCCATGTCTGGATTAGGCCATCAGCCTCGGTCCAAAATTTTGGCAACTGGTATCAAATGAGGGGAATAATCGTCATAGCGATATTTGGCAAGGTATTGCCAGAGTTGGAAAAATATGTGATAGCATTGTAGCGGTGGCAGCTTTTTGGGTGTTATCAGTGTTCTTTTTTTTTCTTCAAAATGTCCATCAAAATGCTTGTTACCACTCTAGGGGCGGTATACCTTGCGCATGCGGACTATAATCATTTATGCCCTGATTTGATACTGACCAAACCCCCATGCTGATGGCCTAGATGTACATAGAATCATTTCATACTTTACAGAACAACTCACCGGAGCCTGAGCCAGGCTGTGCATCGGACGCCGTGGAGCAGGCCCGCCAACTCTGGAAGACGATGTGCAGTCCGCAGAGCGCCCCCAAGGCGTTCAGGGTGGAGATGCGTAACCTGGTGCCGTTTGTGGAATGCAAGGCCCGCTTCACCTGCCTTCGCTTTGCTGCTGATGAGCTGGTGAGCTTAGAAGTGTGTTTGAGGTAGGATTCTTAAAATAAATTTGATTATTTTTTTTTTTTTGCAAATTTGAAACGCATCGGAGTCACATTGGTTAATTTTTTTATTTAGGTGTTTTGCTGGTTGTAACATGGCCAAGAGTTGGTTCATCATGTTATCAGAGCTAGGGGAAAACAAGAATGAACTTTGGATAAGAAATTATCACCAATTTAAAGACATGAGTTAGGGAGGTTGTTAATACGACAGCTGAAAAAAAAATGACAAATGATATTCTATGCAGTATACAGTACTTCATTGCGCTAAAAATTTGCAGCGCATTTGAGTGATTTGTATTTATTGATTTGTTTTCAAAGAAATTATACTTACAATTTGAACAAGTAGTCTGTGCCTGGGTCTTAGAGAGAAACTGCACGACTTCTAAATTGTCTACTAAACAAAAAACTTTCAAAAGTTATCTTGATTTGTTTGTCCCTTGTTTGAAGGGTTCAGTATTCGTCTATGGAATATTTATGCCAAGTTGATAGGAAAACAAAAATTGATCTTTTGAAATTGTTCCTTTTAAATTATTTGACCACTCAATAATTTAATCTTTCCCCACGGTAATATGAAGAGTAAATTTTTTTGAAACAAACACAAATAACAATTGAGTTCCATGTAAAATATTTAACACTGTATTCTCAGTGAAGTCCGAGGGCTTATGTAATATTTTACCATCTACTAGATTCTAAAGTTATTCTGGATGACTGCAGCACTCGATCTTTTGACCCAGTTGTTCCTGTTTAAAAATCTGAACTTTTCATGTATTCCATTCAAATCTTCAGAATAATTTGGTATGTGACTCTGAAATGCAAGATTCAAACAGGTGTTACGCTTGATCCAATTAACTTTGTTCGCCAGGAGAGTGTGAATTTTGAATTGAAATGGTGGCTAAATTTTGTGTTTCTGTGCCCAAGGTCCTCTTGTCAGTTCCCCATCCAGTTCTCCAAACTGGCTGTGCAGCTGAGTAACCAGGCCTACAATTCCCAGTGCGTCATCTCTGACGGGCGACCTTTGACCTACGCGGATGGCATGGCCCCTTCAGCTGATGCTGAGTCCCATGGCAACCTGTACCTCATGCCAGGCAAGGTCAGACTGCATAAGTTCAAGTTTGCTGTCTTGCCAGAGGATGTCGGTCGCAAATTGGAGGTAAGAAGCAGGTACCTCAAGCATCCCGCTCAGCAACCTCGTCCCCAGTGCTTTTATTTCCAACCTCGTTTCCAATAGTAAGCCCTGGATAGCAAACTTTCTTCCTGTATCCTGATTCGATATCGCAATTTGCTAATAATGGATTTATATCGTGTAGTTGGTGTTGTTATTTCCAACGTGCATTACGTGTTTTCACGATTATTGTAATGATAACGTCCACACCTTCTCAATAATACTCCTTTTCTTTCCAGTTTGCTCATATAAATATGAAATGTAATACTGCAAATTGGCGGGCCAGATTGTAACATTTTAACTTCCAAAAAATTGCGTTATTATAACTCACGGCGCGACGAATTGGTGCTGTTTTTACCCCAGACACCGCATTCAAAAACAAACGCTAATGTAACACACATGCAGGCACCAGACTATTCCTCATTTGCATACGTGTTGAAAAATCTTGCACATGCAAATGATCCAATACCAGGGTGAGCGAGCAGGTAGTGGTGGGCGCGTACTGCTCGACACCCTGGGGACGAGGTTGCCCGCTCAGGTTTCACGTTGACATTTATTGAGGATTTATTACAATTGCAAAATATATGTTACAAGTGTGTCTCCTTTCCGTTTTATTCATTTAAATGAAGACCCTATACTCTGTAGTCTGCATACTGTATATGGAACACCTCATCTTACATTGTTTTGTGTATCACCAAACTTCGGCATTATATACATGCCTATGAGCTGTAAGAATTTTGAGTTCACAGTCTTGACACCATTAAATTTGCAGATGAGCGTGTCCATGGCTTTCCCAGAACACTCTTAATCATTGTGCGCAATTAGAGACCATCACTGATGTGCATATATATATGTCCTCAGGGTTGGATCCGGGGGGGGGGGGGGGGGGTGTTCATCAGCAAATTCATGCTGAAATTTAGACCTTTTTGTTTTTCCGGACACTTGGCCTCCGTCGGAGGGGGGACCTACCATACTTTCAATGGGGGTGCTGTTCAAATCCAACCATTATTAACACCATATTACAGAATAGTGTACAAATACCCCCCCCCCCAACCCAGCCGGCTCTGTCTGAATTCTGTGCACAGGCAGACATTATTACCAGCATAATTCTTTTGGGTGTCAGTGGGGGGGGGAGGTTTGAAATCCCCCCTCTGGATCCGCGCCAGGTCCCATTTTAGGAGTACATGCTTTTGGACAACCCTTTTGGTCAAGCAAACGTTGAGTACATGCATACAACCTGTGGTACATACCTCCCCACTAATGGATTATAACAGAAGTTTGGGATTTACAGAAGCTCCTCTCACTTTGTTTCCCCCCAGCAGATTAACCCTTGATCTCAGTAGATTGATCCCTTTATTCCCAGCCCATGTTGGTCAGACCATTCACGGCCTCGATTACAATTCCAAAATGTCTAACTAAAGTCTGACATATGTGCACTAACGCATGATGCATGTGGATTACAACACCTGCAGTGCCACACTGCATGTTCCAAGTGCATTATGTAAAAGTGCAAGCATGATGGCGTTATACTGCATTAGGCTGTCTAGTCATGGTTGTTTTTCGTCAAAACATCATGATGTAGAGATAGCAGATCGGTTTATTGAGGTCCCATTGTTAGTCTGCTGGAAAAACTGAGACCATCTTTGTAATATTGAGTATGTTTCATTCCACGTAGATTTCCTCCATCTGTCTTTCCCTCGGCGACGAGGCCAACGCAAGATGCGCTGTCCTCTACTGGCAGGGAGGCGGGGCTGATGCAGCCTCACTCACGAATATTCATGAGGTGGTGACCCACACACGGGGTCCACCAAAGCCAGACCAGCTAGTGTGGGAGAGGATTAGCATTGAGCAGACTACCAGGTACTTAGATCGTTGCGTCAATCTCAACTTCCCGTAAAGTTTTATTAACATTGAGGTTTTGTTGCAAAGAAGCTGACTTTTGAAATTTCAATAGCGGGTACAGTAAATTATATTAACCCTAACAGAACTCAACCCATCAAATCCCAAGGGCATGTTTTGTTGGAATCTGTCAGGATGGGTACAGTACCCATAAACAGACAGTCTTTCACATTGGGTTGACACACCTCCAGAATCAAAGTCAGAAATGTGTGTACATGCAGTTTCCATGTATGGTGTTGGAATTTGCCAGGATGGGTATGGTTGCTAGTAAATCATGCTACAGAGTTACGGTTAAAAGTAGACTTATTTTTTTTTCAAGACAGTGTGTGAGAGAAATCTCATTTTTGAGTTATGTGATCTGTGTCAAAGGTAGGGCTGTGCATAGGAACCGTGTACCCAAGTACCCGTCCGCTGATGTCAGGAACCAGTTTCAGATTTTAGATCGGGCACCCTTAACCAACTATACAAATTACATGCTTACTACTCGCACAATGAAAAAGAAAGGTTTTGAAAGTCAACCGATAACATATTTATGACGCTCGCTAAAATTGCAGTTTTCACCATAAAGCTATAAAGCTCACTGTACACACTAGTACAGCAGATTGGTGATAAGATTGTTCAGTTTGATGATAAAAAGTATGAAATTTGGCAAACAGGCATAGTATGTCATGGGAAAGATATTTGGCTATAGGGCCATCGCACTTTTGTCCTATTAAAAAAAATATCATTGAATAACAAGCAATTTTCCAAATTTTCAAAATGGCGGCCATTGCATGTTATTCTATGATATTTTTTTCAAAGGACAAATCTGCGTTGGACCTATAGCCAAATATCTTTCCCATGACACACTCTGACTGTGTGCCAAATTTCATACTTTTATCATTATTTTAACAATTCCATCATATTGTGCACCAATCTGCCTGACTACACTTGTTTCTTGCTGCACTTATGTGGTAGTATTATCGTGCAAACTTTTATGCACAATCTGAAGAGCAACTTTAAGATTTGAATTTTTGGGTTGGTTTTCTTACACAGGTTTTTTCATAATTGGGTACCCGAATCCCGTACTACCCGTACATGCACACCCCTAGACAAAGGGCAGTTTATTAATCTGTACAATTTTGTTTGTGTTCTGAACAGTGTGCATCCGCGGCCTGCCCGTGTTCACATTGAGTTGGATCACCAGCCACCGTGTCTGGTCAATGAGTATTACCGCTTCAAGGCGACGATAACCAACAACGAGGACGAAACCATCACAAAACCCACGTATGGATATCATGGGGTTAACTTTTTTTGTAATACAGAATTGATTGCCCAAATAAGTTGGATTTTAGAAACGTTCTGTAAGGCCAAAAAAAAAAAGTCTCCGGTTTCTGGTATGCGTGCGCGTCGCTGTAGCCATGCGCGTCGGCAAAATGAAAAAAAAAAATTTTCAATGAAAGATGATGTCTCAAAACCGCCAAACTCACTGGTTTGACTGGAATCCTGCTGCTGCACATTTTCAACGTGTTTTTAGATGGAGTTATGGTCGAGAATAAGCTTTATGTGGCCTCTCTGGACTCCCAATTCCATATAGACCTATTTGTACTAAGTTTAGTCGGGCACCATTTGCAGTCATCAGCCGACATTTGAAGCAAAAAAGTCGGGTAAAAAAAAAAAAAGCCGCGTCGCCGCACCACTTTTTGGGCAAGCTCCATACCAGAAACCGGAGACTTTTTTTTGTGGCCTAAACGTAAGAGCCGTTAGTTATCTTGTGGACACAATTTGAGCCAATTTAAAGGTAGAGTAGATCATTTGTCATTTTTGTATTGTTTCGTTTGAAGCGACTAAAGTGCTCAAAATCTAAAGACGGGTGCTTAACAACTAACCTGATGAAGTTTTAGCTCTGTGAATGCTGTGTATTCAGAGAAAACAATATTCTAGGATCTCAATTTCAGTTCAAGAGTTGCCGAGTCATAGTTTGAATTGCACCCGAAATCGGTCTTAGGATGCATCTTAGCTAAAATCTTTTTAGAGTGGGGACTCGTCTTAAGTCCTAAGATGAGTCGCAAGATAAGACGAGTTTTGTTAAATCGGCCCCTGGACCATAATTAATTGCCTACAGTTGTAAAAATATAATGTCAGTCTCCGTGGAATTGCCCACGTGACTTTTTGCTGTTGCCCTCATTTGCTTTATAGACTTCTGTGACAAGCAACTCAGTGAAAATTTCCCCTTGTTTAAATTTGGAAAACCGATTGGGACCATGTTTCTTGCAGCAATTTTTCAGGCAGATGATTTTTGTATGAATTACAACAATTTTTCTACTGATTGTGGAAGCACTCCATAATCATGTGAGAAGATGAAAGGAATGAGGCACTATAAATTCTCAAATGAAGTTACGTTTCAACCAATTTTCTCAACTTTTGTTTTTCACCAACAGAATGTCCATTGGGTTGCAAGAGGGACAAAATGAAGGCTTGGAGAAAAGTAGTAAGTCGTGTTACAAAACTAGACTCAGAGAAAAGTAATAAGTTGTGTTACAAAAGAAGATATAAGAAATGAAGACATTAACGACTGTTGCTTTGCCTCAAGCCAACGCATGATTTATCATGATTTTGATGTATTCAAAGCTGTACAGCTCAGACACCAAAACGTACCAAGGGGTATTTGGTGGATCACTTCAAGTCTCAAGAATGTTTCATTGGCTTACTATATGGGTTAGAGGATTGGGGAAAGTGCAGAGAGAGGCTAGGAAGAATAAGTATAACTTGAGCTGTGATACGAAGTAAAGATTATAAAGATTTGTGACATGGTATGTCAACATACGGCACCTTTGGCAAGAAGTCAATTTTGAGTTATTGCAATATTAGTCAAATATAGACCTTGCTCTTGCAAATGCCGCTTTGTTTGTTGACATTGGAAATTCCAACGTGAAGTTATTAAATTTTGAAAACGTACTCTGTCTCCAAAATGTCACACTAATTTTGTGTCATTTTAGATCAACATTTTGAACAAAGTGTCATTTTGTGAAATGACATGCCTCTCTAAAAAGTGGGTTTTTTACTTTTACAGAACATTATTGGCATCACAAATTTTTTTTTAAATCTCAAAATTGTTGAAAAAAATCACCCCTTTGCCATTTTTCAGCTGTTTCTCCATTTGTAGCTCTGCCCAATAATAATAATAATAATAATAATAAAGTATTTATAAAGCGCTTTTACAAAATAGAACAAAGCGCTGTACAAGAGAGGACTAGGATGTTATGAATAAGAAACTTTTAAGACGTTTCTTGAAAATGGTGAGAGATGGGGCGTCCCTGATGTTGATGGGAATAGTGTTCCATAATTTGGGGCCTGCTATTGAAAAAGACTTGTCTCCAAGGGATTTTGAACCTGTAGGAATAGAGAGAAGAAGTTTATCATTGGAAGATCTTAATCCCGGCCTGCCTGGTTGATACAAAGTGAGTAAGTCACACAAGTAAGGAGGAGCAATACCATGTAGGCACTTGTAAACCATCAGAAGAACTTTGAAAGATATATGCTGCTGGATGGGTAACCAGTGAAGATTGGTGATGAGAGAAGTAGCATCCACAGTGCATTTGACAGAGAAAATCCTGCCTGCTTTTGACGTACCACGTCACAATTTATTTAAATAAACGTTATTTTATTCACATCTACATGACGACATTGCTCAAGTATGTATGAGGCAAGCCTAACATTTGGCAATAACAACAATCATTTATACACATTTCCTTTTGCTTGTTCTACCTCTAGCTGAAGTCAGTTTGGACCCAGAGTCCTTCTTGAAGACAAGCTGCCCTGGCAGGATTAAGAACATTTCTCTTGGTACCATGAAGCAGTCCAATAAGGTAACCCGAATTCAAATGGGAAAAAAACTATCAATAACTGTCGCTATTATTAACTAATTTGTTTCTCTAAACAATTTATAATCAAGGACTAACATGCAACCTGAGAAATAAAGCATGTGTAGAGACTATTGTTCAGCGTCAAACTTTTCAGCTCTGGCAGGGATAATTTTGATCGATTCCCTGCTAGACCTCTTGCAACACGGCCAGAGCTTATTGTGCGCTCACACTTGTTGAACTTGAATGTACTCTTTCAATGCAATACAGGGTGATTAAAAAAAACGAAACCCAAATGTCGGGACTATTGTTTTAGTGAAGTTCTGCATGTAGCACTTTCTAGGATCTAGGATATGAAATATAGGATATGAAAGCCCAATTCATAAGCTTTCTTTTAGTACAAGAATCATTCCAATCACTCATGTACTTTTCAAGTTACGGAATTTAAAGTTCTGTCCATGGATCACACAAAAAATGGTGTGCGTTCTTTCTGCAAAACGAAAACAAATCACACACTCCCCTTTGTGATATATTTTCGGTTTACTGTTGAGCTGGCCATTATTTCTTTAAAAATCCTTTCTTCTGCCAGCCTGTCTTAACTGTCAAATTCTTGTATTGTTTCATTGTTCAGGTTGAGAAGACAATATACATCCGCTGCACCCAGCTCGGGAGCCGTGTTATCAGCGTGCGCGTCGTGTACAACGTTGAGATTAAGATATCATCCAGCGACACCTTGCAACCCGTATCCTGCACCTGTTATCAAGAGCAGTCTGTTACACTGCAGACCCTACTACCGTTTGATGTCTCTATTCATCTCACCTCCCTCAAAGTAAGTTACCAGGAGCAGTCGGTCTCATTGCAAACCCAATGGCTGTTTGATGTCTCTATTCGTATCACTTCCCGCAAAGTAAGTTTCCAGGAGCAGTCTGTTCCATTGCAGACCCTACTTCCGTTTGATGTCTCTATTCATCTCACCTCCCTCAAAGATGTCTCTTCGTATCACTTCCCTCAAAGTAAGTTTCCAGGAGCAGTTGGTCGCATTTCAGACCCTACTACCGTTTGATGTCTCCATTCGATCAGTGGTTTTTTTTCTTCACAATTGATGTGATCAATCTTGACCGGTTTCTGTTGACAGTTCAAGCCGATCGACTACGTGAATTCCGGGAGGCCTTTTCTGCTCATGACGGACATCAAGTGCACGTCCCCCTGGCCAATAGCCATATCAAACTCCACCCTCAAATTGGTAAGAAAAGCGGCAACATTCATATTTGATCGTAACAAAAATGATTGTGTTTTGTTCATCAAGTTCCTGTGAAGCCCGGTTCATACTTCACGGGAATGCAAATGCAAAGCGAATTTGATGTCATGGCACGTTCGCTGCGAAATTTACCCGAGTTGAAATATGTTCAACTTTTACGAATTCGCAGCGCGAATACTTGCCATTACGTCACAAATTCGCATTCGCGTTCGCTTTCGCGCCGAGTATGAACCGGGCTTTATGCTTCATTTATCATTGTTAGGTCAGTTAGCCAAATGATACTGACATATAAATGTATTTTTTTTTTAAGTTTACGTTCAGAGGCATGCCTCAATGTAATCTAGACTCACACAGAAGAATACATAACCTTTGCAGTTACAGCAGGATTATACCTACCTCGGTCTCATACTGTATCCCACTCATCATCGGTCATTGTTTGCACATCCAAATTGTGGAGCTCTCTGCCACAATCATGCTTCACACCATCCTAATACTCACCGTCTTTCAAGAGCTTCATCAACAAGCTCCATCTCTTATCACTTTTCTAGTCTCACTTCCTTTCTCAAGATTCCTCTCTCAAGATTCCTTTCTCAAGATTCCTTTCTCAAGATGCCTTTCACAAGATGCCTTTCTCAAGATGCCTTTTGGACTACAGAGTGACCCCCAAAAAAGTTGTGCAAGCAGACATCTTTAAATTTCTTTAAAAATATCCAACATCAGCATTTCATGTTGATGGAGTATAACTGTTTGTACTATTGTGTATAATCATTTATTTGCTGTATAATCACAGCAAAAATATGCTGAAAATGCATTCATGCAAACCAGAGATATACAACCGATTATAAATAGCAATGTGTTGTTCACCCGTTCCAATGTGATTTACACAGTTAGTGAAAAGACCCATTGCAGAGTGCCGGTTGAGTGATTTCCAATGCAATGTGTAATTTCCATCGGAATGGTTGAAAACCACATATCCTTTTATAATCTGTTACATGCTCTGGTTTGCATGAATGGGTGTCCATGACATTTCCACTGATTGTTAATATGCTCCATCAAAATGAAATACTCATGTTAGGTACTTTTTGAGAAACTTAACGATATCTGGTACTGCCATTATTTTCTTGCCATAACCAAACCCCAGATCACCCCAGAATACAACAGACTACTTAATTTATGAATCTTCAGACCTGACGTGTATTTGAGTATTAAACTTTCAAGTGTTTCTTGTATCTACAGTCGGATGATGTGAGGCCTACAGACTCACTGGATTCTCAAGTCAGCAATGGTGAGTTTTTATCTGCCATCATACCATGTGTTAAGGACAAAATGACAGTTCTGTGTCAGACATTGTTTGATTTCAAACAGAAAGGGATGTCATGAGCCAAGTGGCATTATATATTATCATATTGCTTTGTCTGCTTTCACCCTGTGATATTTATATTTAACATTTATATTTCTCCACGCTTAAATAAACAGTGTTTGTTCACCCTAACTCCCTAGGCCTTTTTTGCTAGGATGTAGCCTCAATCCTGCAAACCCTACAATGGGCCTCATGGAATAATAGCATAGCCTCAATCCTGCAAATTCCTCCATTATTTCTTGAATATGGTCTGCGGAGGGGTGACCACTACCTGAATCCTACAAAATCCTGCGGCAGTGACTGTCAATATGTTGAGGCTTGGCAAGTGACATCCTGGAGCAGTACGGAGGATTTCAAGTGTAATCCAGGCCTATATTTATGCATGGCTAAGCAAAAACAACATGAGGTCCGGCCCACGACCTTGACAAAGTGCGTCCTACGAAATCAGTAACGCATTTTTGCCATGTAACCTCCTTCCTCCTCTAAATTCCTCCACTTTGGCAAAGAGGATTTTGAAGGATTCAGGGCGGTTAGGCCAAAAAAAAAAATAAGTCGGTCTCTGGTCAGCGCGCGCGTCGATTTTAATCATGCGCGTCGATCTTTTTTTTCCTCCAAAATGTTCCGCGGTAGCTCAAACAGCGCCCTCTATTTCCGCACCTCCTTAATTTTTTTTTACCAAAGAGCACCAAGGAATGGGAAATTGCACCAAGGCAAATGATCGAGAGCACCAAGGCAAATTATGGAGGACACCAATGTACATGAGGACACCAAAAAAGCAAAATAGTACCCCACCTTGTCTGTACCATCCAAGCTTGAAGAAAAAAGAAAAAAAGCAAAAAAAAAAAAAAAAGCCACGTCCCCGCGTCAATTCCGGAACTTTGGTCTGACCAGAGACCGAATATTTTTTTTTTTGGCCTTACTTCATGTATCAACTCCTGTCCATGGTTCCCTCTAAATGTCACACTTTTGTAACCGTTAATGTGGACAGACCCACATACACACTGTATGTGAGCATATTGCTTTGTCTACTTTCACCCTGTGATATTTATATTTAACATTTATATTTCTCCACGCCTAAATAAACAGCAATTTTTAATGGTTACAAAATAGAAGAATTTTTAATAAAATAGCCTTTTTTTACTCATTTACTAGGAGACTTCACCTCATATGCTGTCTTTTGCTGCAGATATGTAATTGCCTGCTTGTAAAAGCTGCCAGGTCTCAGGTCATTTAAAGAACCGGGGGAAATCAAAAACAACTTGTAGTAAAATGTCAAAGAAAGACAAGTACGTGTTATATCCGTGGTGTTAGTCTTTCTATAATCTATATGTTGCTGTATATTTTTGTCGACAGTTGTGTTGAAGAATGAAGAGCATGCTAGTGAATGCGTCTGTGTTCAAGCCCCGAGTCACCCTGAAACCGGACTCATTGCCCTGGGGAGCTGTGAGCTGGAATGGAAGAGGTATCTCATTGTTGTGTTTAAAGGCATATAGGATCATTTGCATTTTGCCCAAAAGTAACCTCCCAAATTATCATCAAAAAGCTAATTTGGATTAAAGAGTATACTGGTGCTAAATACGCCGTACAATTAGTCCGTCTGGTTTGCAGTCTTTTAGAAGAAATTATATAGATGAAATCGTGTTTCGTGACCAAAAGGTTGTGCATGATTTTACTCTGTTAATCGAAAAATGTAATATCCACTGAGCTAAAACCTCACAGCTTAGGTTTTGAACACTCTTCTTTGGATTTTGAGCGGTGTTATTATTGGAAACGAACAAAATGCATGAAATGCAAATGATCTGATATGCCTTTAATAAGGCTGTGGATTCTTTATAAGCCTTTTGCCTCTATTGGTCATCAAGCTCAAAGGAATCCTCTACGAGCAGGCCCAGATAGAATGCACACGAATATTAAGCAGGGTTCGACTTTAGCGGTAGCCAAATGCTAGTCAAAACAGCCGCAGGCTAGTCCAACTATTCCTTAAGTAGCCCGGCTGGCAAGTCAAACATTATTGGGCTGCAACAAAGATGAAAGGACAGGAAGAAATGAATCATTAAATTCATGAAGCAAACCTGTATCAATTTGTGTCTAATTTTATTAATTGTTTAGGGATGAATTATTTTATCTGTTTATTAAAGACACTGACAATATTGCCTCACTATTCATGTTTTACATGTATGCACATTGTTGTTTATGAGACACTTCATAAAAGAAAAACGTGCGGGCTAGTGAAAATGCCCCCGGGCTAGTTAAGTGTCTGTTTCAGTAGCCCGGCTGGTTAGTGAACAAAAAAGTTAAGGTCGAACCCTGCCTTAATGCTTTGCTAATCTGTGAAATATGATTACCTTTAGCGAAGAATTGCCTGCTGTGGGTAGCAAAGTTTTTCCCACATGCAGTATGGACGAATCCGGGCATGTTATTACTCTACAGGCACAAGATCCCCAATGGAGAAATTAACTACCCCATGATGCAATATTGGAACAATAAGCCATTTGCGAGTTAAATTTGAATAAAATCTGGAACGCTGACTTAATCCAATGCTTTGCACGTTTAACTTTGCATTCTCCTGACCAAAGAGACTGTTACTGTATCACGTGATTCAAGGCAAGCCTTATGCTAGCAACCCCCAGCTCCGGCATGGTCTGGTGTCTTTGTGCCATTCTCACCCATTGTGAGCAATGTATTGGTGCTGAGCGTCTCTTACGTAACTATGCAAGAGCTTTCCCCGAATCAAGTGATTAGCAAAGGTGTCTTTGGTCTGGAGAATTCAAAGTTAAAATGTGCCAAGCATTCTGAGCAAGCCAGTGTACCAGATGTTTTTCAAATGTAACTCCCAAAGGGTATAGGTTACTCGGAAATGGCTTATAGCTATCACAATGCTTTCGCCATTGAAGGGGTTCCTTGTGATAAAGGTTTGTATCTCTTTCCTAAACCTGCAAACCCTCATTTCGACATCTGCCCAGTCTCATTTTGTCTGAATGCCTCGCATTTGACCTCTCATCAAAGGGATTCCATGAATGATGACCTGCCCCTGGTCAAGACCACCCTCCCTCTCCCAGAGGTCAGCATCCAGCCCCTCCCATTGGCCATTGAGACAGACATCCCCGCCTTTGGGGTGGTCCGGTCGCCGCTGTTTGTCAACTTCACCATCTCCAACCGGACATCTATCGTTCAGACGATTGAGGCCAGCGTGCAGGCCAGTGAAGCATTCATGTACTCTGGCCACAAGCAGGTAGGTATCATCTACAAAAGCATCTTCTCCACCCACTTTGAAAAATTTGATCCCCTTTTCATGTTCTCTTTGCTGCTGAGCACGTGAATAGTTTTGAGAATGCGAGCGATGTACTTTTTGTGGGGACTGGATGACTTTTGATAAACTTGAGAGGAATTGTGTTGGACCTGTGAGGTCTTGTGATGGACTGGACTGCTAGATATTCATCCTCGTTTGGTGGTCCATCTCAGGTGTTTTTCAGGATCCTTCCCTCCAGCTGTCAGACGTTGTCCTACAATCTCTACCCACTGGTTGCCGGCTACGTCCAGCTTCCAGAGCTCCAGCTAAACACCCCGCAAGCCCCAACGATGACTAAAGAAATCACTGCTGCCATGTTGCCATCGCACATCTACATTAAGGTGAGCACCTCTCATATACCCAGCACGATATGAGACGAAGGGGCACCCTCCAAATCTCCCTATACTCTATGAAAACCCTACACTATTGTCACCTAACACATCCCCCCTAGATATCTCAAAAGAATTCCTGAGATTCTTATAACACAATGACCAACACAACAAGGAGGGCTCCCTCCATCTCATATCGTGCTACATAATTGTGACCTCTAAGGCTGTCACTTCACTGTACAGTTGTTATCAAATTTGTGTACTTTAACTCGAAAAGAGAAACTAACAAGGTATTGGTTAAACCACTCTATACTCGATTTTGATGATTATCTTAAAATTCCCCGATTTTTTCACAGCGGGTTTTTTGTTTTCTTTTCTTTTTGCAGCCCCAAGGGAAGGCCATCATATCAGCATGATGTGTGATCTTTTGTCTTTTAATACCTGGATCCTGTCAGCAGTGGTGCAGTGTAATTCTGCTCAGTTATCTGTGGTGTCTGGGGTAGTGTGTAATGGTTCAATGAACAACACTTCGTAGACTCGCTGGGCGTATTCGAAACCCCGTTCTCGGGTGACCCGTAAACAGTGTTCTCTGAGGGCCAATTACGAACGCCCAAGTGCGTGTGGAGTGCAAATGGGCAAAAATTCAACATGGCAGGCAGCTGCCATATTAAATAGCTGAATGAAAAGAAGGGACAGTTAATTGAATTAATACAAAAATAATTGAAATCCCGAAACAGCTATAAAAATTAGAAATTCTATATGACCACGAATGATTTTTTTTTTTTTAATCATTACTGCTCCTGCACGGAATGAGTGCTTTCAATATTTTGCACAGAAATTTACACAAGTTCCGGTAGGGGCCTAAGTCCTCCATCTTTGTTCTCGACGTTCCTCATCTACTCCCCGATAAGTGGGGAGTGAAAATCCTGTTCGCGAACACCATTCGTGTGTTGGTTCTGGTCATTCGAAACTCTGTTCTCGTATTCATTCAACACGAGAACAGGGTTTCGAATACGCCCGTGTGTAACTACGCCCTCAGCGTTACATTGCTGAGCAGTTCAGATCTGAAGGATACTCATGCTTCATTGCCACTAATGCACTGATGCTGAGGTGAAATTCTCAAGTGAAGACAGGACAGGTTCAAGTTGAAAAGTAATCCTGCACACTCTGGATAAGGTAGTGGAGACATACTGTTTATCCTTCATTAGCTCTCATGAGTAAGCCACACAAAACTATCGGTAATTCTTACACACAATCTATATATACAGTTAACTCTATAAACAAACTGTTTTTAAGTACAATTTCTGCATTTACTATGGTTTTGTTGTTGGGAGAATGCAAGGATAATGTGCATGATCCGGCGGCGTAACCCGGATTCTCATCCTAGGGGGGCGAGTTGGGGGGCTGGATGTTACAGTGGAGGGATAGACGGGTTTTTTCACTGGACACGACCTCCGTCAAATCAAAAAGAGGGGAGGGGAGGGGGGGGGCACCATGTTCCCATGTGGGCGCTGTTCAAAACCGATATCATGGTCACTGTCGGACAATAGCTAGCGCTATTCGCTTTCCAAGGAATGTTAAAATAAACAGCCAATCACGAAAAACAGGGTTTGGGTGAAAAATACACCCCAAAACCATGGGAAAAGGCAGTTTATGTTCAACCCTTTAATCCTGGTAACTCTTAGGACTCCGGTTGCCAAATTTCCAGTGGGGGTGGGGCCAGGGGGGCAGAATTTTTTTTTGGGGGGGGGGGGGGGCTCACGCCCTGTAGCTACACAGCTGGCATGATCAATAAATTGTGCTTTGTAGTCACTGTTTAAAGCCCCGGTGGGTGTGACATGCCGCGTGCATGTGCTGGCGTGAAGTACACCAGGCTGATTTTATTCTGAATGTGCACAAAGCCATAGCGTCTTTGCGTGAGCGTCAGGCATCGTCGGCAATGCATTGGAATGTCCCTCCCAGTGGTCTCCTCCAACTCTCCCGTCATAACTGTTGAGGGGGTACTTGTGCACAGAGCCCATACTACTGACTTTACCCTGAAGAAGATTTGCAGAATTCAGTTCTGTGGTACTGCAAATCTATGCCTGAATCCCTATCCACAAGCATCCAATGCACAGTGTTATTTACAGTCGAGTCTCGTTAATACAAACTCGTTCGGACCTAGCCAAATTGTTTGTTATATCAGAAATTTGTATTAAGAGGACCATCAGTCCCATTCATTGTGCACATAAATGCACAGTCGGGACCAAGGCCTTATGTTTGAACCAGAATTTTGTATTAACAGAGTTTGTACTAACGAGAGTCGACTGTACTTGTAATATCAGTGTAATTTTCTTCTTTTGCTGCTTCTTTTAACATTTACTAATTCAAATCTAAACTTTTGTTAAGTTATTTGTTGCAGGGGTTTTAATCCTACAAATGAACTGTTGTAAAATGTTAAGCAGATGCAGTTACTTATTATGAATGGCCTGGTCATAGATAGCTCCACAATAGATCATTAAAACTCCATAACTATTGAACTACTTCCTGTAATGATTCGATATATTGTTACAATTGCCGTTCTTTAACCCTTAAGGAACAGCTGTTGCATTAGGATCCTCGTTTAGCCTCCAAATGGTGTTAACAATAATGAATCTGCAATCTGTTACGGATTGATTTTTCCAAAACTGATGCAACAGTGTCGCAACAAAGGTTCCATAATTGATTGGCAACATCCTGAATATATGGACAGGTTTACTTACAGTAATGGAGACGAAACTTTCAATATAGATTGCGGTCAGGTGCATAGAGAATAAATAAACCTGTGCATGATAAACGTGTGAAATTTGACAGAATGGCAACAATGGAAGGAATTGTATGATTGAGTTGTAATCTCTTAATAAGATCTCCGCCCATAACAGCTGTGTCTAAGTCTGAATAGGAAGAGACTGGTCTTTGAAGTGTGCAGACACAAAAGGCTTTATAGATTGATTCCTTGTTAATAATCTAGACTATTGCAAACAACCTGCGATTCTGTTGGTAAAGATTTGAACATTTGCATTTGGTGATGAGGAAATGGACCTTATGCGAATGTGGCGGCCATCTTAGTGAGCAGCTATTGTTATTTTAATGTAGTAACAATAAATGTACAAAAGGTTCACTCATGCATATACCACCAAAACACAGGCATTGCCCTCTAAGATGGCCGCTATGCATGAGATCTATATATATTAAGGGTCATAGGAAAAATGTATAATTGCCAACCGTGCAGTCTTGCAAAAGAACAGTTGGGGCATTGTACATAATATACTGGGATATAACCCTACCTCTTTATTGTTATTGTGGTGTGGAGGGGCAAATCTAAACCCACCGTCTGAAATTAATTTCTATAATACATAGGGAAAAAGATGGTACATGTATATGGAAACGTTTCCGAAATTTAAAATGTAGCCACATCATTTGTCTTTGAAGACATGCTTAAAGGGAATATACAACATTTGCAAACATCGAAAAACAAAATTAACACTTTTTTACGAAATACCTTACTAGGATGTTGATAAATGACAGTCTAAAGCATCCTGTAAAATTATGGCACCTGGTGTGAAGTCATTTTCAAGAAAAGTGGTATTTTGTATAAATTTCCAATAGTGGTCGGCCGACCACCGTTGGAAAACCTAACTATTTTCCTGCTCCAAATTTAACATTTTTTTCAGTCAAAATTTTGCTTGATATTAGTTAAATGTTAACGAACGGGTGCAAGCCAGCTAGACTGGTTCCTTACCTTACAATTTTCCGGCATCTATAAATTGATTCATTTCATCTTTTGTGGAGTCAGGGAACCAGACTACTCGAACAGTTTTGTTTTTCTTGGTTTTTCTAGCATTTTTGAACACAAAACGTCAAACGCGTCAGTGTAACAATATTGGATCTTTTATACTAACCCCTCAAATAGTTCATTTCTGAAAACTACAGCAAAAGCCAATGATGTGCATTCCCTTTAACCAGAATTACATCCCTCACAAACTCCTCGAAAACTTGAACCAAAATGTTTCCTTGATTATTCTGTGACCTTATTTATCCATATACTATGTAAATTTGCATGTATAATATTATTGTAAACCTGAAAAGTTACTAGATAATCTCACTAGTTAAATATAAACACGTTAAAAATATTATACATTCCCTATAATTATTATTATTTAATTCACAGATAAAATAAAACAAACAAAAAAGTCTTATCGAAACATGATGTTTTATCTTGCATATTTTCTGCTTTGTTTTCACATTTTGTTTCTGCACATAATCTCATATTTGTGTTTTGTTTACTGTTGTCCTGATTAGCTGACAACCAAAAATCCAACTTTTATTCTCTGTAAAAGTAATGGTTCTTCCTTTTCGTTTTTGACCTGGATAAATTTGAATCAATTTTTCTGTTTAATTTTGGACTTTTACCTCATCGGAAAAAAACACCTCTCCCGAAACACGTAGCTACACAAAAAAAAATGTCGACTTGGGTCGTTGTTACGCGGTATAGCTGGACATCACTGTGATTGCTTTGTTGCTCAATTGGATTACATTCGTAATTTCTTTTTCTAGAAATGTCAAGGCCACCAACATGTTCGATTAAGATGACAAGAAGAAAGAACCGTTTATCGGTTTAAATATATGTTTTTGCTCTGGTTACTCGCCATCCCTTTCTTAACCATAGTAAGATCTCGTTACTCGACTAAAAATTCATTCATAAATAGCTGGAACAGTTTACCAATTCTGATTGGGTGAGATCCCTTCACGTGGGTGGTTTTAAACCGCCGGTTTTCACACTGATAATTCTTGTATTTCAGTTTGCAAGTTCTGAAGCAGCCGCGTGCACAAAATGTTCGCCTGAAAGGAGCATTTTCTACTTGTTTTCAAAGAACCTTTGTTAAGCTTTTTTCATCGCGAATTTTGGAATCCCCACAGTGCGCCCCCAACTATGACGACTTCCTTTCTCTGAAAAGTGACAAAGCCCTGTATGTTCGCAGAATGAAGATTGCGCCGACTGTTCCATTCATTATAGCCAGAATGACTTGGATTTCCAGCTTCATGTATAACATAGCCCAGTGATGCTACAATAAGCTGGATATTTTCCCTTTTAATTTAGATGTTCTTTCACTCTGAAATGACATAATTTACCTCAATTTACCTTCTTTCGCCACTAACAAATAAATTTCTTCTTCGTCCGTCAATTCTTCGGTCAAGTTAAATTTGGTACCGATGCTTTTAAGCAAGGTCTCAATTTGGAAAGTTTGATACCTGGACATCACTTGACACCCTGTGCACAAACCCTATCAGACTCGAGGATGTGACATCTCAGCTTTAAAGCTGATTTCAGTTTTTTTGTTTGGATTTCAGCTTTTTTCCTCACTTGCTGTGTACAAAAGTATAGGAGATTTCCAAAGTTCAGCTTGTTTACACCTTTTTCAGCTGTTTTCAGCTATTTTTATCAGTGGTCACTCACACCCCTGCAGACTGGTCTGAAATTCCCAGTGTTTTCTCAACAAATGTTTCAATATTTTCCCTGCTAAATATGACATTTTAGGACATGTTATCGCTTTCTGATGGCTGATAGGTCACTGCAGGGAAATATAATGATGTCCATGTCGTGAAATTCTGCACCTCAATTTTAAGCAGAATTCTCGGTCTCCTATAACTACGGGCAAAGCATACTGACCGAAATATTGTTTTCCCGGTACTTTTCAGAACCTCACAAACTCACAAGAGACATTTTAATAGCTATATGGTGCAAGCGTAAACTTTATCATGAAGTCTCAATTTAGTGAAGAATAATATTGAACCGAAGGTCATGTTTTGAGTTATTAAAATATCAGCTTTTTTTTTCCTTCGCTGAATCTGTTCGATGTCAAGAGACCTCACGAAAACAGAAACAAAAACAAAGAGAAAGTTTTGGCGCGCGGGGCTATTCTAACAATGGCCCGGCCCATTCATGGCCCCAGCGGCGATTTCTGCTCTATTTAATTGATAAAAACCGATTGAATTGATGGTCGCAGACAGCATGTAAACAATTATTGATAGGCAGGCCCAAATGACACCTGGCCTGGTAGTGTTCAACAAAAGGGCAACCTTGTGGATATTCAATGATGCAACTTGGCAGAACCACGCACACACGTCACACACAATCTGGCGGGGACAGTTTTTATCGTCTGCTACTCAAAGAGCTTTTTTGAAGTTTGGTTCCTTGTCGACAACTACCATGATGATATCGGTGTTCCATTCCGGACACCAGACTATTATTTCTGTTTTTCAAAAAAATGATACCTTTTTTTGCCTAGATAAAAATCATCAAGAATACTTCATTTTGCAGCCTTGGATATACAGAGATTCTTTTCTCTGTACAGTTTTCTTTGCTTGATGGTGAGTTGAACATAGGCCTATATAGTGAAGGTTTAAGAAAGTCCTACAGTGTGTTAAATTCAAGTGAAAATAAGTCTATTTTTGGTTGATTTTTTTTTTAGCACAAAGTGCAAGTACATGTAGTAGACAGTGTGTGTAGACGTTTTCAAGTTCAGCCTGTCACGATTTTCGAATTTGTAACACTTACATGACCTTACATAATTGCATAACAGTGTGTGTAGCGGGGTTTTCCTGTTTTTGTTATTTTTCT